AGATGTGGGATCTTTTCTTTAAAAGACAAATTCACGGACAGTCGAATTGTCAATGGATAGAAAGGACAGTTTCAACTATGAAGGCTTTCTGACTGCAAGGACATGATGATAAAGGTAATTTATTATAGAACGTTGACATTTTATGAAGAAAAAAAAAAGACCCGCACTTTAGAGGTCTGTAGGATTTAATGTAAAACACAATAATTTACTGGAACCACCCCAAGTAAAAGGGGCACTGTCAATGTTAACTGTCATTTTCAGAAATACATTTGGACAAATGCTCCCTGCTAATATTAAAATGTACACAATTACATTACCATAAATTTGTTATAAGAGGTTGCACATATGCAAAGTATTAGACGATGCAATGTGTGGGTGAATGATGTCATCGTAGGGGAATGTAAACATTCATTTTTTTTAAGTGCCAGGCTGTGGATTGAAGAAAATAAGACAAATATAAGAATCCTTGCTTGAATTTAAGTATTTTATATTCATATAAAGACACAGTTCTCTAACATTCTAGTTTATGGTTTGTTTCAATCATTGATTTTTTAATTTTGTTTATTGTCTCATGTATAAAGAGTGATCTTGGGGTTTATATTTAGGGGTGCTTGATAGCAGCAGCATCATCAGTAGATGCTTATTGGGTCTCTTGGTTAATATGTTCATAAGGATGAATCAAGTGTTGGAAAGGGGTGCATGAGCCACTTTTCTTAGTCTCGCCATGCCACATGTATTTTAATAAAGGACATTGAGGGGAAGGACCAAAATAATATTTTATCTACATTTCCAAAAATATTTGGGTGAGCACTTAAGTGGACATGCTAGACACTACAACAACTTCAGCTTGATTAAGTGGTTCTTCTGTTTAGGAGTTAAATCACATTGTTTATGCAGCCTAGTTACACCTTCCCTGCATGTGATCTTCACTGTCTCCCTACATATTTCATGTAAAGAGAGATCTAATGTTTATACTTCCGTTATTGTACAGTTTATTTAATTTAGAATTTCTTATATCCTACTCTGTTAATAGCCTGCAAGAGTGTGATTAAAGTTAAATTTGAAGGGCAGGAAATAATACTTCTAAAGTAAACATACTGTGCTGTAAGATCTGATTGAAAATTAAACCAATTTTCTCACGTAGGCTCTGTGTGTCACAGACAGTTGAGGTGCATCTAGGGCTGTATAAACAGAAACAAAAGCGACTTAACTCCTAAATTGCAATTGCAATCACAACCTTACAATGTTTTTCAACAATAATTTTAGCATTTTTGGTTTGGTAAAAAGGGCTATAAAACATTACGTTATGCAGTCAAATATAAGCGATCACAGTCACTCTAGATAAGATGTATTAACACATTAATAGAGCTATTTTTCCCTTGTTAAATTCAGTAACCATTGACAACACGTTTTTTGACAAATTAATACATACTCTAAAAATGATCAAAGTTAATGGTTTTTATGCATGAGCAAAACCAACACTATAAATATCTCCTTAGAGTGCCAGCGGCAGCACCCATGTTGTGCATTAGGTTATTATAAGCTGCCAATAACACTTAAAGGAACACTAAAGGCACCAGACCATTTCGTCTCAATGAAGTGGTCCTTTAGTTTCAACCATGCAATGTGCAAAAAAGATTGCCATTCAGTAGATTTAGTTTTTTTTCTTTTTTATGTTTAATCGTTACTGAAATATTTTTTGTTTTTCACATTTGCAAACAAACTTAGAGAAGTAAATACAGTAACAGAAAAATTAACATTTGCCCAGATGTTAATCTTACATTTTATTTCTCCATAAAACATGTGGTTAATAAACGTCAGCAACACATGCATTCTCTATGTTGGCCAGACTCTCAATCTGCGAAGTCCACCTTAGATACACTTATTTAGTGTTCTGTGATTCCTGTCTCTGAAGTGCGCGCTGGTCTTGTTCAAGACCCACTAAGCCATGTGGATTCCCACCTCTGTGATATTCCCCCTCCCAGGAAAAGGCCCATGCGGGAGCTTTTTAAAGGCCAGATCCTCCACCACGCAGGTACCCGTTGAACATTGCAAGGGCTCCACGTTGGGCATGATGTCAACCTTGTGTTATTCTTTCTTTCCCCGTGGTAATATACTGTTACCATACTGTTGCTGGTCTTGTTTGCTCTAAAAGGTTGGACATGATATTTTGTAACTTTTTGTTGCCTTGTTGTTTATTCATTCTTTCTTCAGGCCCAGCTAGCGCAACTGAATATCACAGTTTTTCTTGGAAATACTATAGAAACTGATAGGAATTAGAGATCTAATTTTAGTGTATTTCACAGTCAGAGACTGCCTGTATATACGGTCCATTTGGCATTGTACAATAAATGCTATGTTTGTTCTTTCATCATAAGAACCTGTTATAAAAATGTTCCCAATAAGTATATTTGTTCCCATGTTGTTTTTATTTTTCTACTTCCCACTGTGCTTCTGTATTTTTCCACGATTTCTTTCTGCTGTCCTTCGTTTTCTCCCCCATGTAGAAGGTAATTACAATACAGCTTCCACGTGACCTTCCCTCGGGCTCTGCATTTTGTTCAGATATGAATTACATGCTGAACACAAATATACCCACTCTACTGTGCTTAATGCCCGGTAAGCCCAGCGACCCCTGAGGAGGAGATAAAGAAGGTGGACATTTATATTTAGCTTTCGTTAAAGAGATGAATAGCTCTGCAATTGTTTACATATGAATCCAACCTTTTACCTGCTGCAGACTTAATCTTGAAGTGCTAGTCTGACTTCGCTGATTGTGAAAATTCCTAATTTCCTTACCTTAGTAAAGGCTCTTGAAACGTTTATAGGAGTTGGAAGCACAGCCGTGTTGAAGGTGACAGTATTGCATCTTAAAGGAACACTTTAGTGTCGAGAATACAAATGCATTCCTGTCACTGTAGTGTTTAACTATTTATGACACTCCCCTCACCAATTGCATGGGAAAGTGGTTTTAACTCACCTTTTCCCTTTGACGCACCAGTCCACCACGGATGGTTCTGCCTCCATGGCTGAGATCATCAGTCCTTAGGAAAGCATTGGGAGGCTATGACGCATGCACTGCAAAACGCTATACTGTACCAATTAGCATCTCTTCATAGAGATGCATTGAATGAATGCATCTCTATGCAGAGCATGGGGATGCTGAATGCCTGTGCTCCACAGGACTAGGAAGCACCTCTAGTGGCTATCTTTTCTCTTACAAAGTGCTTAGCTAAATAGCCTTTGAGCTTACAATCTAAAGGATACCGTGGGGATTTGAGACAAGAGGAAGCTAGATGGGCCGAATGGTTCTTATCTTCCGTCACATTCTATGTTTCTATGTAAGCAGGGGGAATTTGGATGTGATGGCTAAAATAAGTTCACAGAGAGTTGCAGCTATTGGTAAAATATAAAGGGAATGAGGAGGTAATTTGGTAAGACTCCAAACAGTTGGAGGCGCATGCTATATATTTAAGTGGAGCCTGGGTGGGCGGGAAGAGAGGAGGGTAGGTAAAAAATGGAGAGATTCAGTATTGTTGGTTCTGGGAGTGTGAGATGAGGCCAAAATAACAGAGATGGAGATGGAATAGTTGTATGAAGGTATTTACAGCTGGGAGGAGCAAAGGAAAGAGGGGGGGGTAGAGTAAACATCATCCTGCAAGGGTAATACCTTGTCACCAAGACGACTATTACACGCTGCAGTGGGATAAGTGCTTAGAATGTCCATTTACGTCTTCTGTCAGGCACACGCGCCCGCATTAGGGACACCAGAGCAGGGAGGGGGGGCAAAAATCTAAATCCCCTCCTCTCGTTCTGGCTCTGGCTTTGGCCCTGCCTCTGGCTCTGGCCCTGCCTCTGGCTCTGGCCCTGCCTCTGGCTCTAGCCCTGCCTTTGCCTCTGGCTCTGGCCCTGCCTGTGGTTCTGGCCCTACCTCTGGCTTTGGCCCTGTCTCTGGCTCTAGCCCTGCCTCTGGCTTTGGCCCTGCCTCTGGCTCTAGCCCTGCCTTTGCCTCTGGCTCTGGCCCTGCCTGTGGTTCTGGCCCTGCTTCTGGCTCTGGCCCTGCCTCTGGCTCTAGCCCTGCCTTTACCTCTGGCTTTGGCCCTGCCTGTGGCTCTAGCCCTGCCTCTGGCTCTAGCCATGCCAAATGGTTCTTGCCCTGCCTCTGGCTCTAGGCCTGCCTGTGGTTCTTGCCTTGCCTCTGGCCCTGCCTGTGGTTCTTGCCCTGCTTCTGGCTCTGGCCCTGCCTCTGGCTCTAGCCCTGCCTTTACCTCTGGCTTTGGCCCTGCCTCTGGCTCTAGCCCTGCCTGTGGCTCTAGCCCTGCCTCTGGCTCTAGCCCTGCCTGTGGTTCTTGCCCTGCCTCTGGCTCTAGCCCTGCCTGTGGTTCTTGCCCTGCCTCTGGCCCTGCCTGTGGTTCCCAGCCCTGCCTGTGGTTCTGCCCCGCTCTCTGCTTCTTGGCCCTGCCTCTGGCTTCCCAGCCCTGCCTCTGGCTCTCAGCTCCTGCCTGTGTTTCTAGCCTCTGCCTGGCTCTGTGCCTGCTTCTGTGTTTTAGCCTGCCTCTGGCTCTAGCCCTGCCTGTGGCTCTAGCCCTGCCTCTGGCTCTAGCCCTGCCTGTGGTTCTTGCCCTGCCTCTGGCTCTAGCCCTGCCTGTGGTTCTTGCCCTGCCTCTGGCTCTAGCCCTGCCTGTGGTTCTTGCCCTGCCTCTGGCTCTAGCCCTGCCTGTGGTTCTTGCCTTGCCTCTGGCCCTGCCTGTGGTTCTAGGCCTGCCTGTGGTACTTGCCCTGCCTCTAGCTTTGGCCCTGCCTCTGGCTCTAGCCTTGCCTGTGGCTCTAGCCCTGCCTGTGGTTTTTGCCCTGCTTCTGACTCGAGCCCTGCCTGTGGTTCTTGCTCTGGCACTGCCTCTGCCTCTGGCCCTGCTTCTGACTGGGGACTTGAATTTTTCACATCACCTCGCTCTCCCTGCAGTCAGCACACATCAGCCAAGGAAGTCAGTCGGCCTCTCCTGATGATGTCAGGAGGAGGGCGTGACTTTCACTGCTCTTCTCCCAGACTCCCGAGTGGATTGCAGGGGAGTCTGGGGGAAGAGAAGTGGAAGTGACGCCCTCCAGTCTCTTCTCCCACCTGACCACCAGGGATAAGGTCTCTCCCCACCCTGGTCCAAGCTAAGCCTTAGTGAAGGGGAATATACTTTAGTTTTAGTTTTCTTTTTTATCAAAAACATTAAGCAACCCCTGGCTTCCACCACTGCCCCTGCCCCCCTTCTACAGCCCCTGCCCCCCTTCTACAGCCCTGTCCCCTCTGACTATAGCCCCTGTGCCCCCCCCACATCCCTTGGCCCTCCTTCTACAGTCTCTACCCCCTATTTTACAGCCCCTTTCCCCCCTTCTACAGCCCCTGTCTACCCCTTTTACAGCCCCTGCCCCCCTTCTACAGCCCCTGCCCCCTCCGTCTATAGCCCCTGTGCCCCCCCACATCCCTTGGCCCTCCTTCTACAGTCTCTACCCCCTATTTTACAGACCCTTTCCCCCCTTCTACAGCCCCTGTCTACCCCTTTTACAGCCCCTGTGCCTCCCCTACAGCCCCTGTCATTGTCCCATCATACAGCCCTTATCCCTTACTACAGACCCTAACTGTGTCTGTATGTCTCTGTGTTTGTCTGGGGGAAAGAAAGACACACACAAAGGGGCTTCTAAATAATACACTCATCACTAATTTACACTAACACTAGTTCTGATGATGGTAATCCCAATAAAAAAATTGTATTAATAATGAACACATAGTTATTCTCTCTCAGTTGTCCATTTGTAATTTTCGACTCTGCAATGGCTATTCACATGTGCATCTTGCAATAAGTACACATAGCAGGAGAGGTACCAATAATGGTGTTACTGAGGCTGGTTATGTTTAAATAAATCTGTTCGGGAATCTAAAAGTACATTTATTCCTAGTTTGCAAGGTTAGAGTCTGCAGATATTAGTCCACACAGAGTGTAACAGATCTCATTTGAAAGTTCTTGGCCATTGTTACAAACTGCCGTTTGTAACTGTTATTTTATTTGACAAATTGCCCTGCTTCCCTGTGTTATGGAGAAGCCTAATTGCCAGCCTTCTGCCCCATGACTATGGACCTAGTGTGTATGGCGATTTGACTGTATTTGTGGGATCTGAGCGCTGTTTGGATATATTGAGCGCTCAGATCCAAGCCATCTGGGGATAGGTTGAATGTGGGGGTTCTGTTCAGTTCAATAGGAGTTATGTATTTTTGTGTCTTTTTGTGTCTTTTGCTAACATGTGGTTAATGGAGTCTGCCTCTATCCCTGGATAATTGGATTACTTTCCCCATTGTCCAGGATAGAGGCCTCTGTAAAACCGGTTTGGGCCAGAAAACCATGCTGCCAGCCAGGCCCCAAAATACACTTTTGCTAACTTTTGAACCCCTTGTCTGATTTGTGCCATTTTTTAATATGTTGCTCCCCTTAATGGATTGATTCCAAATATGTAATTTTTATGAAGATTGGATGTGTAGTTTGGAAGTTATAGCACATGTATAAAAACTGTATTTTTACTGTTCTGTTTTAATTATGTTATGTGATTATCTGAGGGATGGGAATTTCCCCGAATGTATATTGTTCCGATTGGTTATACTGCTAATTATGTGGGTGTCTCCCTTGCATGGGCAGAATCTCATAAAAGCAGAGTGTGTGCCATTAAACATCAGATCTTCTTGACCCTCAATACGTAGCCTTGTCTCGTTATTGGAGGGAACTGCTATATCACACTGGGGATTGCTATGCTCTGCATATTCCCCTGAGCTTTTAATCACTTAGCTCTTTTAAGAGCTGTTCCTGTTATGCTCTCCTGGAGGAGAGGTCTTCCCCACACGGTCCTGGAGGACAGAAGCTGATCCAGGGTGGAAGGAAGACGGCGAGACTCCAGTTAAGCTACGGCGGTTGTGGAGTCTGCGGTGGTTGTGGTGTCTGCTGCAGTGTTTGGAGTCCTCAGGAAGCGTTAGGAGCATCCATCAACGGAGGGTACTCGGTCGGAGTACAGGGAGCTCCGTTACAGCCATAAAGTGTATACTTCTCATAGATAGGTTTATCTGATATGATGGAAAATACAAAATTGTTGTTGTTTTGCTGTAACGAATGGGAACTTATGGTTTGTTTGTTCTACTGGAAGATGTTAAGGGCAGGGCCGTCTTTAATATTGATTGGACCCTGGGCAAGCATCTGTTTGGGCCCCATGGGCATGCAATCACTCCCTCCACCCCAACCTAGAGGCGAAACTAATGTAGAGAGTGCCTTGGTGCAACAAAAAAAAATTCAGGCCTGCCCTGTAGCACAAGAGTAAAGAAAAGATAGATCTCCATCTGTCATACAACTCCTGCGATGCTATGCCAGCTGGGGATCTACCATCCTTGCAGGGTTGTATTTTTGAGCAGTGTTTGTGCAAATGAATGTTAGCATGTTATTGTATAGAGTGTATGTGTGCATGTAGGAGTGTATTTGTATGTACTGTTACCATTGGAATGCAGTGGTGTACTTGTGTGTAGTGTTTGCATTTTAATGCAGGGATGTGTGATTGTTTGTAGTGTTGGCTTTTAAATGCAGGTGTACTTTTGTGTGTAGAGTTGGTGTTTGTATATAATTTTAGCGTTTTAATACAGGAATGTGTTTGCATGTAATGTTTGTATTTGCATGCAGGGGGGTGTTTGGATGTAGTGTTGTCTTTTAAATACATGTGTACATTTGTGTGTAGTATTAGTGTTTCAGCAAACTGGTGTGTTTGTAATGTTTGTGTTTGCAGGGGTCTGTTTGCATGTTGTGTGATTTCTATAACACATATACACATACACATTAACACGCAGATACACACATGCTCACACTGACACATGCTCACACCTTGACACATACTGGCACATACACATACACACACACTCAGATACACACCCTTTGACACACAGATACAAGCACTTTGATATACACACATTGGCACATACACACACACACTGACACAGGTATATACACACACACTCAGATACACACATACATAAGGGTATAAATGCAGGGGTGTATATGTGTACAGTGCTAGAGATGGAATGTATGAGTGTATTTGTGTTGGCATTAAAATGCTGGGATGTATGCATTACCACACACTCAGATGCACACTTACACACACACCGAAACACACACACAGGTGCACATACAGGTGTATGAGGTATACATACACACAGAAACACTGACACACAGACAAACACAGCCAGATACACACAAGGACATAAACACAGCCAGATACACACATATATATGTGTACATTTACATATTTTAATCTCTGCCTTCTAGCAGCTCTTGGACAGCAACTCCCAGCAACCTTGGCCAATATAATGTCTCAACTCTGTTCTTACATACCCTGGTCCAGAATTTGGCAAAAGTGACATTTGAAAATGGTATACAACCTTTGATAACACTTGATGCAATAATATGTTAAAATAAATACTTTTTAAATTTATATTTAATAGGGAACTGTCAGGTTCTTCTAGGATTTTTAACATGTACTTATTCCCTGTGTGTTACATTACAAACACCAACACACTTAAATAAAAGTGATATCAGAAATTAGCAAAACAAAAACCAAAACATATTTAGCCACCCTCCTGTCTCCTTACCTTTTGGGTACAGAAAGGTGGCTTCCCTGGGGTCCAGTGAGAGCTTGCTGGCCCAGGCTGATGGGATTCTGCCATCAGCTTTCTCAGTCCCTCTCCCCCACAATGCTTGCATCCTCCTCCGTGTGGTGTGTGCCTCCTCCCCAGCGGCACTGAGGAGGAAGTGATCAGTTCTTACTGGGAGGAAGCAATCTGACCTCACTTCCTCCCAGCATGCCCAGGAAACAAAGAGACTCACAGGGCAGTATGTGAGGGGGCTAGCTGTGAGTCCAGGGGCCCGGGCCGGTCCAGAGCAGTATTAAAGGGCTGTGGCCCCTGATTACCTCAGGTGCCGCAGGGGGCCCATGGGGCAGCTGCCTTAGGGCCCCCAGGAGTAACTGGGCCCGGGGCAGCTGCCCCTTTTGCCCCTCCTTAAAGACGGCCCTGGTTAAGGGTACTCTGCAGGTCTTATGATCAAAACAGTTGTTGGGTACGTCCAGGGAACAAATTATCAAAGTGTGATGAAAGGCCGACATTCCATGGTGATTCAGAAGCGAATAATTTGCTACATAATCTACAGAGAAGAATGTGATTTGGTAAATTACCAGTTAATTAAATAAAATGTGTCTAAACTCATATAAGTGCTACAGGTGGCTTCTTGTATGGAGTATGTTTAGAACTTTGACCGACCATTTTAAAAAAATTTTTTTTTGCAGGGTTGGACTGAAATTTGACTAACATAATTTTACATTCTTCTATCCCTTATGCAAATCGACTTCCGCTGGTTTCTCTTTCTTTTGAAATTCATGTGAATTTAAGGACAGAAGTACAATGGCCTCAGTTGGCCTCCAAGAGATTATTTTGAAGGAGTTTGCTGTTTCAGTTTGCATGAAATTCTAAGGCTGTGCCTTTATTCTATTTATTTTTTTAAATTATTTATCCTGCAGTGACCTCAAGTAGACTCAAATATTTACAATTATTGCATCTATCTACACATATGTACTCTTAATATATTCCCTGTATTGAGTTCTGATCCCTTGCAGGTACCTGACTGCCCCAGCGGAATAGAAGCCTCTTAGACATACTTATGTACCAAGTGTAATAAGGGAAAAAATAATATACTATGATTCATTAGTGTTAGAAACTCTGCAAAATAACCAATTATCCATAGGACTGACCGTTGGCATGTAGCATGCTGAGGACAGGCGACAATGGCGCACCCACAACCTCAGTGCCCGATATGTCCTCCTCTCAGCTCATCCTCTGGGACGTTTTCCCCCCAGAAGTGAGAAGGATTGGGGGAGAGCTTGGCTGCATGGGATCACACATTTTTTATTACTTTTTTTTTCTGGGAGAACCATGACAGTAAGGGCTATTCTAACCATAAACAATGTTTTATTAAAACACTGTTTTTTTTCTTCCTTAAAGGAACAGTGTGAAATGTCTTTTCTTTGCTGAAACAAGCTGTTTTACATTTTAAG